TAAAAGAGAAATTCTTCAAAACTAACTGTTGAAAACCAGCATTTCTCAATCTCTCCTCACAATCTCTTCCAGGGCCCTCAATCCCACTGCAAACTGCACATGCCAACTGCCAGATCCCAATCCAGCATGCCTCCCAAAACAGAAGCATTCCCCAGTAGGGTTACAGCATTGTAACTGAGGAGGCGAAAAGCAGCAGACACTCCTCCTGCTTCCTAGGCTGCGACCCAGCTTAGTCCCTCCTGAGATGTTGGATGTGTCCAGCATTCATCAATGCAGATCCCTCCCGAGGCTCTGGTTGCTTGCATGGCCTTAGGAACGCATGTGAAGGCAGCCACGGCTTCCCACGGGTGTCCCTGGGGCAGCTGGTGGGAATGTGAGGCACAAGGGTTACCTCTCCCCGGATGCAGAGGGTGACAGGCCTCACCTCTGCGGGAGGAGATCACCAGGAAAGTGTTTCCTGCACTCTAGACAGGGATAACTCATGCAAGGGATGAATGGCCCCAAGATACAGCTAAGGATCTGACGTGAATTGAGAGAAGCCAGGAATTTCCTGACCTCCCTGTCTCACTCCTCCCAGAATGGCCTGAGCTCACAGGAAGGAGAGAGGGAAGCTCATCTCTGAATCTTGCTCTCTTCATTGTTTTGGGTCTGTGTAGCCTCAGCTGGGTTGGAGGAGAAAATGTTCTGGGAACTTCTCATCAGATAGAGCTCTCTTGATAGGCAGTTACAGATAAACCTTGCTGCTATTTTTTTTTAGTTTTCTGCAAAAGTTCAAGATAATGACATTGCCACAGAAAAATGCTTTCCTACTGCTCTGCACATGGCAGGCTTCACCCTTCAACTGCTTGCTGTCATGGCAAGTTTAACAGTGGTGTGCCTGGGAAAGATCAGACAACAAAGGTCTTGCTCTCCAAGCTGTAATTCTGCAACTGAACCCCTTGTGCTGACCTTCACCTTCAGACGGAAGATGTGCACAACACAGAAGCTCACCAAAGGCACAAGAATCTCCATCAGGGACACTGATCACTGGCAAACACAACAGATATTACTTGCAGAGTGTCATCCGTGAAGGACTCTGGTCACACTGGCTTCCCTTGCTGCCACAGGCCCTGGGAGAAAGGACGTGGCCAGGTAGCCAAGTCATCTGCATGAAGAGCAGCAGCTGGAGGCCAGACAGGCTCTCCTCTGAGATCTAAACCAACGCTGACTTACAGCAGTTAGGTCTGAATGTCTCCCTAGACATCCGACTTCCAGACAGCTCCAGTTAAGAGCTAATCCTCATGGCAGGAGCAGGCCTACAGCACACAGTGAGTTGCACTGCAGAGATCCCTGAGCTATCACTGCTCCAAAGTGGTATGTCCACACACAATGCCAAGTGTCAACACACTTCCTCATGTCCCACAGCAGTTTAGTAGCATAAGCACAGCCAGTCCAGCAGCACAAGCAGTCTCTGGTGCTAGCTAACGAAGCCAGAAACTTGGGAGGCTGATTTGTACTGTGCTGATATGGCCACACCATTTCCAGCTCTGGTGCAGGCTCAGTCAGGGGCGATTCAGGGCTCCCTGCAGTGAGACTGTGCTCTAAGGACCACCCCAGAACTTCAGCCCACAGCTTCCTGATGGGAGATAAAGTCTGCAGAGGCGTCCACATGGTCAGATTTTACTCATCTTCTGGTTCTGTTTCATTCCAAATTCATTCCACAGCAACATGTTTGCAACATGAAGACAAAGCTGACCAAAATCTATTTGGAGGACAAGAATGTTAAAGGATGTTTAGACCCATCCTTTAACACAAGAACATAACGGGATTGTAGAATCACAAAATCACAGCCTGGTTTGTGTTGGAAGGGACCTTACAGCTCATTCAGTTCCAACCCCTGTCATGGGCAAGGACACCTTCCACTAGAGCAGCTTGCTCCAAGCCCCATCTCTCCATGCCCAGCTCTCTCAGCCTGTCTCCAGAGCAGAGCTGCTCCAGCCCTCTGAACAACTCACAGTTACGCCAAGTTCAGTGCAGGACCCCAATCACATCAGCAGACTTCTATAAGCTGAAACAATGGGCAGCAATTCCCTATTTTCCCCATCTTCTCACAGCTCCTGGGTGCCAGTGGCAAGTAGTGAGATGCACAAGGGTAATGCATGGGCCCAATCCTTGGCTGATGCAATCCAAACTCTCCTGAAGCCAGCAGAGGTGGGCTTATTTACATGCTAGTGTCTAACTCTGGATGATTAATTACAGAGCTGCTGTGCTGGGAAAGGGCAATCTCCCATTTGATCCTAAGCACCATCAATCATGAGACTGCAGATAACAAGCCAGCTGAATGCATGTAAATTTGTCTCCAAGCTGGAAAGCCCTCTGTGGAGACTCTCCATAGCCACTGCTAAAGCCCAGACTGGGCAGGAATAGCTGCTTCTCCTCCAGCAGATCCGCATCCTTTGCCCCTCCCATGTTGATTAGATAAAAATAAGCCTTTAATACTTTCATTCCTGGTTTTCCTGAAGAGCTATAGGTCAGAAAGATAATGACCAAACTCAGTTCCAACAGCACTGCTTTTAGTTTGAATAACCAAGGAATTAGAAGAAAAAAGCAGTTCACTTTGGAAGCAGTAATGGGCTCACTCACATTGACTTGGCAGTGCTGGGGTAAAGGTTGGACTTGGTGATCTTAAAGGTCTTTTCCAACCCAGCTGAATCTCTGATTTCCAAAAGTAGCTCCTGACTGTGGGCACCATTTCTGAACTCAGCACGTTCAGAAGAACCAAATCCTTGTACAGACATCACATGCTGGGACACTCCAAATTGGTTTAGTTAGCTCTGAAGATGATGGCCTGAACAGTTAATGGTACAGACAGAACATCTAAACCCATGTCCCTGGGGTGCTGCTCCATGGACAGCTGAGCAGCTACCACTACATTGCCACCAGAAGGGCAGGACTCCTTCCCAGGACCTCATTGCCTGTTCCTCTCCATCCAGCCTTTGTCTCTGCCCCACAGTAGTGCTGGGACATGAGCAACCATTTGGTAAGCTAGTCCAAAGGGATCTTATGGTGGAAACCTAACACTCCAAGTCACACACTAGCACCACAAGTGTAAGGGCTCATGTTTGTCCCACCAAAGGGAGCTCTCCATGGCCTGGGCTACCTTGTTTCCCAATGCCCCTAACCCACCAAGCTAATTAAACTCTGAAATCCTGGAGAAAGCAAGTCACTCTGGAGACCTTAAAGCTCTTTAAAGCAGAGAGTTGCTCTGACCACTCTGTGACAGCTGGAGAACACTACTGCTTGACTGCACTGCAGTCTGGAGAGCACCCAGGTGTTTACATTCATACCCTGCTTCTACCCATCTTACCTACACTTGACCCTGTTAGATAATACCTAACCCAGACTTCCCATCCACTCAAGCTTGTCCTCATTTTTAAAGACAAACTTCACTCACCAGTTTGGCTTCCTGATTCAAGTGGAATACACAATGGTCATTTGTTTTAACCACTTCCCTCAGAAAAGAAGGGAAAGTCCCTCTCATGTGGAAAATAGTGTCAAATTTTTCTTCGCACTGGCTTTACGCTGATGATTTTAACCAGTGACTTGACTTGGTTTTTCCTTAGATGGGCTGAAATATTAGCCAACTTCTAAAAATTAGGATCAAGGAACACATTAAAAGCCCTTTGCCATGCAGAATGTACCAGGCAGAGGGCCTGGATTTATTTTTTCTAGAAGTCTTTGGAAGCATACAGTGGATAAAGTGACTCTTCCAGTTTTCAGCAACTAATGCTGTTTCCACCACCTCCACAAACTCTCACTATTGCTACTGTAGCCTAATGAAATTCACATGCTGCAAGCACAGAGGTGTCTGGTGCTCTGCTTCCAATCGTGACAGACCCAGAAGAATGTCAGAGCATGAATCAGGGGGACAATCATGAGCTCTAAAGAAAAAAGGCTCCTGTTTTCACACAGCCGACAGAATAAACAACGATCAGAAGGAAACTGGAGGATGTGACACCAAACAAAAATGCGGTCAGAGCTTGAAAAATACCAGCTTAGGCATAGAAGTTCATTTCTATGATGTAGAGTCAAGGCAAATACTTCACAGATGCCTTTTGAATGACACGGGAGGTTGTAGTCTCCAGCTCTGTCTGGGTTAGACACCCCGGGATTCTTTTCAACAGAGGCGGGGAAAAATTTAGTAGCGATTTCCTACTCTCATTAACTTACCCTGTAAAGATTCAGCCTCTGCACATTCAAGCTCACATGATGCTCAACTCATTTGAATGGGAGGTGGATCAAGTGGCAAGTGTGGTGCTGTTCACATATTTGCCCTGTCACTGAAAAGCCTCTGCACAAGCCCAGGAACTGGAACTCTGATTCTGACTCAGGCTTTGGCCAGGGCAGCCTTCAGGATGGGATTGATTTCACACCACTGGACTTATCTAGGATTACATGTCTGGCCTGCCCCTCTTCTTTGGGTTGCCCCAACAACTGCTGAGAAAGAGATCAGCACCTCGAGGGGATAATTCTTCCTATCCTAGAGAGGTAGCCAAAAAGGGAGAGGATCCAGCAAGCACCTGTGACTCACATGGAAAGATAGTCTGAAGGCAGAGAAGGAGAGGTGAAGATCATGTTAGGCAGCAGACAAACACACCTTTCAAACCTAAAATGGGGTGGTGATTTCAGAGCTTAATCCAAACACACAGGTGAGGAGGGGGGGACACACACTGATACCATCAGTCTGTGTGTGTAATTCATAGGTGCCAACTCCAGAGACCAGGACAAAATCCTTGCACTGGATGCAAGAAATAAGCTGACCACAGAGAGTTTCATCCTAAATGCTTCCAGTTCATGCTTCTGTCCTGTGCCCTCATACTTTGTCACCTCTATGTGTTTTCATACTGTACAATAAAGCCACCAATGTCAGTTGAAGCTTGTGCCGTCCTCGATGACAGAATGCTCATGACAATGGACTCCACCCTGCCTGGCATATCTCAGAACCACTAAAACCTCCTCACCTGCTGAGATGGCCTTGAGCAAGACATCCTGCCCGTCTCCTTGACTCCAGTCTTCTTCTTCCCACCTACAATCCAAGCATCACACTAAAATTAGCTCCAAAGCTAAAACCTTACGTTCAACTGAAAGAAAGAAAGCACAGAAGCCTGAGTAACCCACAGCAGCAAAATCCCATGGCTGAAATTAATTGTGCAACCTTTGCCATCAGGCACTGCCAACACTGGCAGTTTATTCCTGGAAACAGGGATTTCAGAACTGTGTCACCTGAATGCGCAACACATCAACCTGCAGCAGCTCCTACCAATACGTTAGCTCCATTTTAACCTGGTTTCTAAGATAACAATGTCTGCGTGTGCTTTATCCATGTGTGTGTATGGGAAAGGGAGACGTCCCCTGAGTAATAACTATTGACCTTATTACACTGTTTGAATAAAACTTGATGGGGAATAGCAGAGCACCTCAGTTTTATGAAAACAGACAGCTGTTAGAGGAGAAAGATCCTGTAAATATCCCCAGAGTGGAAAAGCTGACAGTATGAGTTTAGTCCTTATTAGTCATCAGAGAAGCTGCAGGAGGAAGACCTGAAAAGGTGACTCCATAGCAGACAAGCTGCTTTATTCCACTGCTTGGGGATCTCAGGAATGCTATTTACCATTTTGTCACTAGATGGTATTGTTCCACAGGCTATATCTGAGAGCCTCAAAGGTCAGATTCAGCATGGTATATCAGGAGCTGGGTTCGTTGGAGTGAGAGAAAAGGCTTTTTTTGTCATGTATTTCCATACATGTTTTCACATATGGAAGCCATCTGCAAAATCAAACTGTAACAGCTAAAGAACAAGAGCTTTGGGGAAAGTAACTCAGCATTGATGAGCTGTGCATCTCCTCCACAGCTGAAAAAACCCTGCTGAGATAAAGAGATGGGTAAAAAATTGACTGTTTCTGTTAACAAACCCAGCATATAAAACAAGCCCTATTTTGTAGTTCAATATGACCCGACACACGTTCAAACAACCTGACAAACTCTGTTCATCCATTCCAAAGTAAGTGAGAAAGCCTCAGTGTTATGCCAGGACACAGTCACAAGTGCAGGCTCTTCAGTTTTGGAACTGGTGTTTACCTGTATCTTGAAGGTAAGAAGATGCTTCCATTTTCTGTCTGACATTTTTGTCCTCTTCATGCTCACTTGAATCTGCTCTGGCAGGGAGAGGGTGACTCTGTAAAGCAAACGATGGTTTGTCTTAATAGCATAATCTAAAAAAATCCACCCAGCTGGTAAATCCATAACCCCAGCACTAATGGGGATGAGATCTTCACAGCTCCTCCATGTCCTTCCTTTTCCCAAGCCTACAAGTCTTTTAAGAGAGAAATTTCCTTAGATAAGACAGAATTCCTACCTAAATGGCTTCCTACCTTCAGGAGTTAGTTATGTTGAGCTTAATTCCCTGATACTCACAACCTAATGTCAAGTCAAGGTTCCCTCTTCCATCATTCTGGAGAGCAGCCCCATTAGAGGGCCATTCCTTCCAGCCAACCTTAGTGTCTAAGGGCATCACCTGCTAAAGATGCTTCCTCCTCCACTAAGTGCAGAGGGGACCTAGAGAAATCAGACACAGCACACAACTTTCGTCTGAAGGATGTCTGGAGGAACCCCACCTAACTACACAGTGGAACGCGGCTTCATCCTGAGAAACACCAAGTGGAAGTGTACAACTGTTTGCAATGCTTTCCATTTTGGCCATGTCTGTGTCTGAGTGCTCTCCCTGGAGGATGTACCAGCCTCTGGGAGCCAGTGGAACTCTGGAACAAAATGAGAATCACAGATTCATGGAATCAACTGGGTTGGAAAAGCCCTTTAAGCTCATCCAGTCCAACTGTTCCCAGCACTGCCAAGGCCACCACTGCCCCATGGCACTGAGGCCTCGTCTCCACGGGGTGTGAACACTTGCAGGGACGGTGACTGCAGCCCTGCCCTGGGCAGCCTGTTCCAATGCCTGAGCACCCTCTGGGGCAGGAATTGTTCCTCAGCTCCATCTAAACCTGCCCTGGGGCAGCTTGAGGCCGTTTCCTCTTGTCCCATCCCTTGTTCCTTGGGAGCAGAGCCCAGCCCCTCCTGGCTCCATCCTCCTCTCAGGCACTTGTAGGGAGCCATCAGGTCCCCCCTGAGCCTTCTCTTCTCCACACTGAACCCCCCAGGTCCCTCAGCCGTTCCCCATCACACTTGTGCTCCAGGCCCTGCACCAGCTCCGCTGCCCTGCTCTGGACCCACAAAATTCACTTGATGTCTGCAGACTCTAAGCTGCAGCATTCAATTCACTGCAGTGCTGCTGCCCAAGACAAGCAGAAACCCTCATGAAACTCAGATTCTGAGAAAATGTGTTTTTTAAGGAGAGTTTTGCTAGATAAACTCTGGTCCTCGTGCCAGAACTGAACAGAGCCATTTCTATACCTTTGTGGTCCCCTCTTCTTCCTCTTCATCACAGTCTAACCCTTGATGGGAGATCTCAGTAGGGCCATTCCTCTCGATCAGGCTGCTCTCAACCTTCCTCATTCTCTTCTTTTCAGTTGTCACTCTCACTTTGATGAGGTGGAAGCCAGTGGAGACTGACCCTACTCTCAGGTTGACAGGATCACCATCGAAAAACAGGTCACCACGGCTGCCCTCCGCCTTAAAGCCAGGGGGCTGGTAATCGTCAGGAGTTACTACACAGGGAGAAAGAACCCACTGATGTCAGAGAAACCAAGTTCTATCTCTCCTTAACCTGATTTATACAGAACAAGTCTATGCCAGCCTCGAGTAACTACATCAGCCACTGAAAATGTCCTGGGGTTCTTTTTTTCAGGAAGAAGGGAGAGAATGCGAAGGAAAAAATGAGCTCAGCAAATGTGACCAGGGAGCTCAAAGGTTGACTTTTGGATGCTGAGATACCATTCATATGCTCAGCTTTCTGGAGTAGAATCTGACATGGCCTTGAAACACCAAAACCCACCAGTGAAGGAGCCAAGTGTCTCCTTTTGGCACTACATGGCTGTACTTCTTCCATGGATGCTCAAACCTGTCTTAAAAGGCATCTGCCATCCCCACGTGTCAGAAGGATTTACTGTGGTTTATACCATTTCTCACTGCTTTCAGCGAACACCTTTGACCATTTCACCTTTCTATGCTTTATTTACATTACAGGGGCTCATGATTATTATAGGAACTGCTGGACAGGGAATCTCCCCCCCCCAGCACACATTGTTCTCCACCTACCATCATTGTAGTAGAGGAGTTTCATGGTGAGGGTAACATCACTGGGAAGTGGGCCAAGGTTTTGCATTAGCAGGTAGAGTTTCCGGATCAGGAGCCTGCTGGCCTGTTTAACATCCTCACTGCACGCCCCATCCACAAAGTTCACTTGGTTGCTACAATCAGAAGAAGAATAACAGATTTGTTTTCCCCAGCCATGCATATTCACGACCTAATTACAAATACAGAGCACCCACTGACTTGTCTGAAACCACCAGCCCAAAGCTACAATGCCAGATCAACAGGGAAGTGAAACAGGCCAGGGATGGGGTGACAGCTCTCAACTAGGAGGCATGGCATTTACATTTGAACAGACTTTGTAGCTGGGGCAATGGACCCCATTATACAAGTGTCATGACTCACTTGTTTGAGCATGATTAAATTGGATCAAAGGACCATAAAACAAGTGCCTTTCACCTCAGCAATTTCAGGAATGAGAGGAATGAGGTGAGAATCCCATATAAAGCCGATTCATCACAGAGGCTATTCTGCAGCTTGAAGAGAAGTGAATTGCATGTTCTCACTTCAATTCCATGGAAGAAAAACTAGCTCAGAAGCACATTCTTCCAAAGTGACTAAGGGGCATTCCTCTCACCTCCTTCACCCACCCAAATGTCAGCTGGGCAGCCTAAGCAGGCAGTCTAGACTGAGATAACGCCTCACAGGAGTGGGATGAATAGGCCTCTGGAGGAGTTTGTTTCTCCTGACTACAGAGGTAGAGGAGATGAGCAACTTAGATCAGCAGCTGACTTCACACAGTTGAAGATGGACTGGATGAATCACTACGTGACTAAGGAACCTGAACTTCCTTGACTTTCAATGAGAAGGGGCCACAAAAACCCCATAGCTTCTTCATTACATCACTGGAAGCCCACTGGCAGGTGGATGACACTATACACAGGCTGGATGGTCCTTAACACAATCATCCCAAAGTGCTTTAATAGCAATAAGTAACCTAAGAGAGCAGAGAGGACCCCAGGGCTGAATTTGACTGATTAAACATTGGAACAACAGCTTCTTTAAGACTCATTTTTCCTTCCAGTTGAAGTTTCTTGGCTTGTTGTGAAAACAGAGGCTGTTGCTTGACTACCAGGGTACGGTTTGGTAGGCTTCAGACTGCTGGTGGCAGAACCCTGTGCTGAGCACGTAGTGCCATTAGATTAATCCTGCATGATCAGGAAGGTACATCAACTGAGAGGACCAAGGCTGGCAATGCCCAAGGTGGAGTAAAGAGAAGGCAGGGCCTTCCCTCCCACCTCACCTTACAAGTCTTGGGATTAGCAGGAAGGGGAAGGAAATGGGAAGTGGAAGAAGTATAAACAAAAAGAGATGAAACTTCCATAGGAATTAACAGATCAAGTACTGGTTCAATACAGGAATAATACTGTGAATTTGATGCAGGAAATGTGTTGAAAGGTCCAGAGGAACTGCTCTGAAGGACTGGGGTCCATGGCAAAGAATTCCTCCAAAATCCAGCCAAAATCAGGCAGATACTATTTAGGAGAAAGTTTCCCATTACCCCTCAGATCCGATGATGCAGATCCACAAAACACCTCTCAAGGAATGATTAACTTGGAGTTTGCACATGCCAATAAACACTCCAGGTGTGCCAAAGCAGTGTTATCAGCCAAGGGAGCTGATAGCAAAGATGACACAGTCCTGATCAATGCCAGAAGGTCACTTTATTAATGACTGCAGGTACACGTGTGACCCTGTGACAGCAGTGTCAGTCACTGAGGAAACAACAGAGCCCAGGAATCCCATGCCACAGGCTCGGAAGCCTCAGAGCAGTAATGAGATGTCAACAGAGCAGACAGAAACACAACAGCAGGATTACTCAGCCTCTCCTTGGCCACACCAGGGGATGCTGAGGTCTGTCAGGAGATAGTTATTTCTTTGATCTGAGAAAGGGTGATTAAAAAAATCAAAGTACTCAAGAGCCGTCTATTCCATCCAGCTCTGGGGCCCCAACACAAGAAGGATGTGGAGCTGTTGGAGCGAATGCAGGGGAGGCCATGGAGATGCTGCAAGGGCTGGAGCACCTCTGCTCTGGAGCCAGGCTGAGCGAGCTGGGCTGGGTCAGCCTGGAGAAGAGAAGGCTCCTGAAGGGGAGACCTGAGAGCAGCTCCAGTGCCTGAAGGGGCTGCAGGAAAGCTGGAGAGGGGCTTGGGACAAGGGATGTAGGGACAGGCCAAGGGGAATGGCTTTAACCTGCCAGAGGGGAGACTGAGCTGAGCTCTGAGGCAGAAGCTCTTCCCTGTGAGGGTGCTGAGGCGCTGGCACAGGGTGCCCAGAGAAGCTGTGGCTGCCCCATCCCTGGCAGTGTTCAAGGCCAGGTTGGACACAGGGGCTTGGAGCAAGCTGCTCTAGTGGAAGGGGTCCCTGCCCGTGGCAGGGGTTGGAGCTGGAGGAGCTTTAAGCTCCCTTCCAACCCAAACCAGGATGGGATTCTATGATTATCTTTCAAATCCCAAAGGTCTCGTCATTCCCTCAGTGTAGGGAGGACAACTGACAGCAGCTTCAAAGCAGAAGCAGAGGGTACAGTCCACAGGACACTCCAGACTCAGACACAGTTCAGATTTTCCCAACAGATTTTCAATGTGCCACATACTATGGATTATTTGGATGTGTTTAGAGAAAGAGCAGCAAATGGCACACAACTGGAGCGTTGTGGAGGAGCTTCCCGAGGAGCACACAAGGCAGCAGAGCTCTCTTGCTGCACAGGCAGCTTCCAAGGCTCAAAGCTCCATCTTTCAATAGCAATTGCAGAAGCAAACTCAAAAAGGGTTAATTCTTTTTCTTTGCTTTGGTTACAGCCAACGGCCTCCGACAGTATTTATTTGCAGCTACACAGATTACGGCCTACTAAGCACAGCTTTAAAATACCTAACAGACAGAGAGAGCCCAAAAGATGCAAAACCCTGCTGCTTCCTGCCGCACAGTTTGCAGCATCGAGTGAAAGTTCTCTCAGGTCACCCACGCAAGACTGCTCAAGCAGGAGACACATAGGCAAATGCCCAAGGAAAAGCAGTCCTAGGTGCAGGGTCATAGTGAAAGGGAGCAAGCCTGGAGAAGCTTCATTTGAACGCACCAGGCTGCCTGGTGGAAGTGGCAGAACACTTGTTGAGGCAGCAGCAAGCTCAACAACTGAGCTGGTTTCTGCACCACTTCCCCGATGAGGCACCAGTTCTATCAGTTGTCCTTAATTCAGTTCTAGGGCGCTACGCTGCAGTGTTTCTGCTCATCAGCTCAGCAGTTCATACCCTGTAGGGTGAACCCCCTCTGATGGTATTTACAGCTGCTCAGCCACTCAGACATGCTCTCATCATAAAGTTCAGTTTCTTCCTTGTGCTTCAAGAGCACAGTTTTATTTCTGAGAAATAAACCCAAAGCATTACCTGATGATGTCCATCTGGGGCACTTCCTTTTTGTACTTGAATTTGAACTGGTACAGTTCAGTCACTGTCTACAGATATAGCAAAAGAGGGGAAAAGAAAATATAGGTCATCTCTTACTGTAGCAAGTATAAAGATGTGGCCTAACCTTAGCAGTGAACTGTGACAGCTTCAGGCCAGAGCACACCATTAACTAAGTGATGTGATGACAGCACTAACTCTATTATTCCCTGCAGAGGCTTTGGCAGATTTTCTTAGCAGCCACTTCTTACCTAGTACTGAATAAGTCACCCCAAACTGACAAACTTCCTGCCTCCTCTTTCCACTTCCTCTGTGGCCTGACTCCCCAGCTGAAATCTCTAACCAGCCCCCGGGGCAGCCAACCATCACCACATCCCTCCATCCCCCCCTTAGTAAAGGAGGATCGTGAGCTCCATGGGTGATGCAGTGTCACAAGGAAGCCTGGCCCAGGGAAACAAGGGCCTGAAGGATTCTTCCAACTGGGAAATACAAACAATATTGAATGGGCAAAAGTTGCTGAATTTCCCTGGTCTTTCTGAGGGAGATAGAAAAAACCCTTGATGATTTTCCAGTTAAAAGGAAATGGTTCGTTCTGATTTTAGAGAATAATGAGGAAGAACAGACAGCTTCACCACAAGAGAAATGGTCTATTGTAGTCCAATTCCATGCCTATAATCCACTTTTTCCACAGGCAGAGAGGTCGATTTGTAGGAGCTCAGCTGAGCCCTTAACTCTGAGCCTTCCTTACAAATCCAGCCTTGGGACAGAATAAACTCTTGCTCCCTCCCCACATGCTGAGGTGGGATACAGCAGAACTGTCCTCAGGGGAGCAAAGATTCTGCTGCTCCTCTCTGCAGTGCTGTGGAGATCACACTGCCCAGTTCCTGCACCAGGCAGATGTGGATAAAATGGAACCACTACAGGGAACGCTGAAACGACAAGGACAGGCACCACCAACAGATGCAGCCCAGGTCTGAAGTGATGCAGAACTTCTCTCCTAAACCCCTCTCCATGAAAACCAGCTGTCTTTTCAGCACTGCTCTTAAAAGGATGGTTCAGAAAAGAACTATTTGGAACTTCCCATTTCTTCTCCTCTTTGGGAAAGAAAACCAAACCTGGGAACATGCCCATTAGCTGCCTGTTAACATCCCTGCCTGAGGCCCAGATGGCCCACAGCCTCGTGCCCAGTAGGAGTGTTTGATCACGGTCCAGCTCACTGAGCTGTTGCTCTGCAGTGAAGGCAGAAGAAGAGAAACGGGGTCACCAGGCAGCTATGGCAGGGTAGAACTGAGGCCTACAAGGCCACTCTGAATACAAATCTACTCACCCATGCCTTCAGTTGCCTCAAAGATTAATTAAGACTCTTTCTTACCTCCGGTTCCTTGGGATTGGTGTAAATCTGTGGAAGAAAGCACAGTGAGGCCATTCTCCCCTCAGATAACTTGACCCAGTGCAAAGTGCCTAAACAATGATATTTTTCATTTTACAGCAGAGATTGCACTATCTTCAGCGTGGGATCAGGGAAAGGAATGGCTGAGCAACAGCCTCCCTCTATCAGCAGCCAACACTTACCACTTCAAAGACAGGTAGAAGACAGTCATCTATGCAATTGTGGAGGAATGAGGTGAATTCCCATTCCAACCCTCACAGGCAACTCTTGATGCCCGAGATGGAACTACTCAGATTATGCATGGAAAAGGTGCATAGCACAGCTCCTGGGGCTTTACCAAGGGCAAAAGACTCACTACAAAACCACCAACAGTGTGTGTGTGGTTTCTTGGGGATCAGATTAATAAGGAGGACTCTTCTGCAGGGGGGAATGGAGAGGACACAGCAGCTCCCAAGGCTGGAGGCAAGAGTTTAAAGGAAGAGGTGATATGAAGCACATGGAAGTGCTTCTAGGAGTTTAAGGACGCCTGTAAGGCCTCAGTCAGGAGTATGACATACTGAGAAAGATGTTCCCATGCAGCCTGGGAATTCATATTTACTGTATTCCAGACAGGTCAATGCTCTGTTACAAACCACATACATGCTGACTGCCCCTTAAAAAAGGCACAAGTGGGTTGACACAACCTTGACTCCGTATCTCTTACAAGCAGAGGGGAGAAGAAAACCAGTTTACTTACTGCGAGGACAGCAATGTGCAACTAAGGAGGGAAAAACAGAACAAAGAATCAAAACCTAAACTTAGTGGGCAAGGAAAAGAAAGGTAAAATCTAAGTGTCTGCAGACAGAGAGGGAAGAGATACATTCAACAAAGTGGGAGTTAGAAGACAGATTCTCCACAGCACAGCATCAGCAACACCTAGTGGCCAGTCTGCTTTGGCTTTACTTGCCATTTCCCGAGGAAACAACTGCAGGCTCCAGACTTCCCCCTGGGACTCCTTTGAAACATGTCTCCAAAGGCCACACCGATTTGAAACTCTCTTACAAGAGCGTCTGTCCTACTGAAGAGTAATATTTGCTCTCTGCTATGAAACTTCCCAAAGGTATTTGGTGAATCCTACAGCAAGGAAATGCAGTACTCTTGGAAACAATCTTACAACATGCATTAAGCAGCTCCATTTTTCTCCTTAATCCTTGTCAAATAACAATTAATTTGTGTCTCAGAAATAGCAGAGGACTAAATATCCCCAGGAGCTGTCAGGAAGTAATAAACTGAGTTCACAACATGTTGAATTATCTTATGCATGTTGACACTTGTACTGATGTGCAAGAGCCCATCTGATCATCAGTGCCAAAACCAACACCACTTCAGCTCATCGAGATGAGAGGTGGTTTGATGAGCGGTGCTGACAGAGATGACAACAGTTGGTGCTTTTTCCTGTGCAGAGCATTTTTTATGTGAGAATCAGCAAGGAATATGATGATTTAGTGGCTGGTTTTGCCCTGGAACCAGTTACATACTTGACTTGATGAATTACTTTCCAAAAACAGTAATGAATTCTGAACCCAACAGAAAAGCCAGGAGGGTTAGAGAAGATGAGAAGAAGGGAAGACTTGGGGAAAGGAAATGAAGGAAGGCAGAAGCACACAATAACCTCTCTCAAGAAAACAGGCATGGAGATCTCGGTTCTGACAGGCAGTGTCTCTACCCATGCATTACAGAATGCAAATATAGAACACAGAACTAAGGGAAATCCATTTCAGGCTACAAATGAGTTCACACACCACAGACAAGCCTAGGGAGCAGCAGCACTCAGTACTTGGACTCAAGGAATAAAATCCCAAACCTTACATGTACACACTCAGGGCAGGGCCTCCCCCCCCGTCCCACAGCTGTAAAGGAATGTTGTGTCCATGCAAGATCATTACAAAACTATAAAGCGTGAATGGAAAGAAAGCTTAGAGCAAAATTCATGAAGAAATAGGAAAATCCCATTTAAAAATGGGAAGAAAACTTACATATTGCCTCTCCAAAGCATCAAAACAGCCTTGGATCCTGCCAGGGAAGAAACATATTAACATTAACCAGCAAAATAGATAACTCCTGATCTGTAAACACACACTCATTAAACACAGTTTAAAGTGCTTTTTGTTTTCTGGAATTAGGACAAGACAGTAACATTTTGGGCCTGTAAAGTCCTTTTCAGGTCAATCATGCTAAAGGCACTGTCCTCCCTCCTGCATCTGTGCATTGTCATACTTCAGGACAGTATCCTGTCAGCGTGGAGGCCACTTACATCCCAGCAAAGACAAGGGTTGGAAGGGTAAGGCTGGTGCTAGTGGCCCTATGCTCAGTGCTCTATTCCAGCTCCCAGCCTGACCTCTGATGGCTCTTTTCCCATCAGCCTTGTACAGAGCTTGGCTGGAACCCCCATCTGAACACAGCCTGACACGTCTGTTCTTGTAAAGCCCTGCTATCTGATGCATAGCTTACAGCTATGGATTCTCTCAAAGTAGTAAATATCGTTTGAGCTGGCAATGGTGAGATATTTACTCTCTGAGTCAAAGGATGTGCAGCTAGGTGTCTCCTTAGCACGTCAAAGTCAGACTCTGCTTGTTGGGAACATGCCAACTCTGAAATAGAATCACAGACTGCTTTGGGTTGGAAGGGACATTAAAGCTCATCCAGTTCCACCCCCCTGCCACAGGCACGGACACGAGCTATAGGGCACTTAGACACACAATATCCAGGGAGATATAATACTGTACAAATTAAAACCCAAGCTACAAGAATCCCTGTGTAAGCGAAGCTAGAAAAGACTAAACCAAACAGACTCAACCTCATGATTTTTGTCACCCTCTCTCAGTGCTTACACTGCCCACGTGTGCTCTGGGGCCTGACCACACTGACTACAGCCAACACCTCAACAGACCTTGAACTCACATGGTCTCGGGCAGCTAATTCTGGCTTAAGCACACAGGCTGCACACTGGGAGTTGCAGCACTGGCAGAGTCAGTAGTGCTGCTGGGCTCAGGGCTTTCAAATTCAGGAAGAAGAAGACCACGAGGGCTTGAGGTCTTGCTATTCAGCACAACCTTGTCTTGGTTTCGCTGTTACTCACTCACCACTTGACTATCTGCAGTGATCCCAGACAGCTTTTATCTTCTCGCAGAATTTTTAGACAGAGGTCTGCAAAACCAGATTTAGCACATAGTTACAGTCCTTATCACAGCTCTGGGGCAAACAACACTGAACCAAAGGCAGTCATCCTCCCTTTTTTGGATAAAACGCTTTATCTAGAGGTCCTTCCGGAGCACAGACGTTGGTTTGCCACTAAGTCCCAGGTGGGCAGGCACATGCTTATTGCTGCATTTTCAAGTGTGAAAACTTTCCTCAGATGCTCTGGGCTCTCCCACAGCTACAGCTTCATTTCAGAGCCCCAGCAGCTTCTAAATCTTCTCCCTCCTCTTCTCCACTCCCACCTATTCTGCCATTCCCTACCAACACCTTCACGTCTGCATTTGGCCTTCACCAACATCCGTACGAGGTGGAGGACTGTGCTCAGAATAAACTGCTTCTTGTTAAGCCTTTCCACACAGCTCCTTCCACCTCTGTTTTCAAGCATTTGGAATGGCCAGAAGAAAGACATCCTACCACTGAAGAGGTGAATTAACATTTCTGGGTTCAGCCAAGGAACCCTCAGAGGCAGGAGCAGGCCAAGTGTTCACATCCTTGATCAAAAAGGCACTTGAAAGACCTGACATCCCATGACAAAGACTAGTAGCTTTCCAGGGTTAAGTGATCAAGAGCCAATCTGGGATTTCCTGTGCCCTCAACTAAGTCCACCAAGTGCAGGTGACCATGTTTCAGGCCATCTAACTCCGTAAGAGAATTGACTGGAATGCAGTGAGAGATTTCACACCCTACTACCACATCTCGAATGAGCACGAGGATGTTGATGAATCAAAGCATCACTAATTCCTGTGATCCTATGACAAGACTTTGGTTCTTAAGGTTCTTTTTGTTTTCTTAAAGCTCTGATTCCCAAAGCACGTGTGATTATGCGAGACAGTTTTAGCAGGAGAAGAATAAACCCCATCACAATAAAACAAACAAGTGTACTTCCAGTCTCTCAAGGAAAGCTGCGAATAGGAACCTGAAAGGCTCAATAATCCAAAGGGAAATAAACCACACCAATCAGAGTTAATTTTTAAAAACTGACTGCTTTTAAAGTGACTCCTGACTCTGAGACCTGATTCATGGGGCTGGCAATGCTGAGGGGTTATTACAAACCAAATAAAACACTAACAGAAGAACCAGCACCTGCCAACAGCCCTTGGTTGTCTTCTACACTGCCTATCTGATGCAGAAGCACTGTCTGCACCCAGACCTGAGGAGGCCGGGTTGCTGACTTCCTAATAAACTGAACTCCTACACCTCTGAGCAGCTGGAAGCTTACATGTAGAGCAGATTACAGCTAAAACACAGCAACCAGAAATAAGAATTCAGCACCAAATGAATGTGTTACCATCCAAGTATCGAGTTCCGTACGAGCTCTCCGGGAAGAGCCCTCTCATGTAGGTTATACAGGACACAGAGATGGCCAGGAGCCTCTTCACCAGCACCACCGACTGCTGCTCAGTAGCAATTTTGTTGGGGAACAATACTGATTCCTGAAAAGGAGAAGGGCAAAGCCCAAACCAGAACCATTTTAGTGTAACGCAGGGATTATCTTTAGAAACAAACTTTTGGCAGGAGGAAAACCAGGGTGACTTGGAAACGTAATGTTCACATTTCTCTGGTCTTCAAACTACCCAGGGAAGGCTCCTGTCTAAGACGGGTGGGATGAGGAATTTTAAAGATAATTATCTACAGATCTGACATGATTTATTCAGGTGCAGACTGCACTGGTGGGTCATTCCCTCCCCTTTTATCACAGCTGACCCTTCCCACCCCCTCACTGCACCAATCCTGGCACTGAAGAGACAACCGCCCCTAGAGACACCAGTGTGCAGTTTTCTGGCAGCCCAGCTCCCCCGAGTTCATTCTGGAGCCAAACAAGTGCTCGTGATGGTGTGGCACGCACTGCCATGCCCAAGTTCACTGCCTGCCACAGCTCCTCCTGAGACCTGGCAGCAAGCAGAGCCTGTCAGCACTGGAGGCAGACCCAGTTTTCAGAGCGATTTTAGCTCAGAGCTATAAACAGAACATGTCTGGGACTGGAGCTGGTGTAAATACCAAACACTGTGTGACTTCAGCATGAACAATCTCAGTGGAAAGTATACTCAATTTAGTTCCTCTGGGAGTTTGTTACTGCTCTTCCTGCTGATAAAGCTCTGTGCACACCTCAGGAGCCCACATTTCTTTAGGCAAATACATGTCAAAGTCCCATGCTGGATCTTTCGGGACGCACTAAACTGGAAATAATCCAACCAAGAACAGGGCAGGCAACAGGAAGGGTTCACCACCTCACCAGGCACAGACACGCCAGGTCCAAAACAGAGAGCTGAGGTTGTCAGGACCATCACATTTCAAGGTTTTTACCTTAGAGGACTTCTTTTGCCTAGTCTGTAACAGCTGATGAGTAGCCATTCTGTATTTCAAAGACCTGCCTTCCACTTGTACTTAAAACCTGAAAGAAAGAGAAAATAGGAGATACCTGGAAAATACAGTCATTGCTATTTCACATCTTCCTCAAAATAAATGAGATTCTTGAGCTTATTCAGGTCTCAAAGCTAATTGTCAGCCAGGACAGGTAAAGCAAAACCAACCCAGGATACAGCACAGCGCTGTCTGAGAGGCTGCAGAGCAAGAAAACTCCCTATTTACAGCTAAAGGATCAATAGTAGTTGAAATTCAGGCCCACGACTGTCAGCTGGTGCACTTCAAAACGCATTCCTCATCTTCCAAACCACAAATGTTAATTCCTACAACCATTAAGTAGTGTGAAGGGTGAACGTGAAAGAACTGGAAGCCTGCCAAGAGAAGCCAACATTTTAGCAAGGGTAAGCAGGAAACGCACGAACATCAATCCGGGCTGGAATAAAGGAAGGATGCTTCTGGGACACCTTGAAGGGGAAAAGAGAAACACAAAGAGAAGAAAGCTCACATTGTTTCCATGAGAGTGGGCCCTGGTAAGACAAGCCTGGATTAAAGAGGATTCCACAAGGATGGAAAGCAGGTTGACTAAGGCAGTAACATGGCCATTAGACACTGAGCACCCCGGTGAGGTGCTTGACGTTGCACCAGCTGATAGATTGATTAAAAACTTCCATGGACGCTGCTAAACCTGTGCTAACGGGGGCGGGGGGGAACAGCTTGTGGGGAGATCCCAACACACAGCTGCTAATGGGGACATGTAGTGAAAGCGGATGCCACAAGCAGGGGTGTCGCCTGGTCCACATTTCTCCTAACAATGAAAAGAACAGCACAAACAGGGCGGGTTGATTGAAAGCCTGACCCACGGCAGCCCCGAGCTCCTCTTGCTCTGCAGTTGTACCTCCTCAGCTTTTTTCCATGCCAGGCTCATCTCCATTTGTTGGCAGTCATTAAGACATGTTGATTGGAACATGTTGACGGCTTTCATGCTAAATTTAGCCCTTCATTTAGTGAGGAGGAGAGAGCTGCAGCTATCGAAGTACATCCCAACAAACACACACCTGCAAAGTGCCGCATATGTTAAAGATCGGAGGGAAGGAGTCTTTGTTTTCTACTCGTGATTGGCTGAGCACTGTGAACGGGACTGGAATATATCAACAGCAGACAAAGGCACTATTCCAACGTGAGGTTAGTCCCTAAATAAAGGTTATTTAAGTGAGGCAGATAAGAAAACGTGTTCCCAACAAGCTACCACGCTCAGGATTGATTTATTGTGCCAAGGGAACATCACCTGCACTGAGCTTATCTGCTCCAGCCGGGCTCTCTCGGCACAGGGAATCCTCCAAGGCTCCAGCGGCACCGTCTCACCTTGACCAAACCTTGCTTGCTCCTGGGCTGTGGGAGGAAAGAGGTGCCCTGGTTCCCCACAGCCAGCGCTCATCGGTGAGGGTCAGGAAATACGAGTGAAGGGGGAGAAACTGAACCTCTTCCCTGCACCCCAAAAACCCCATTCCCTGGGAACCCCTCAGCCCTGCACCCGCACAGGGGCTGCCCCTGATCACCATGAACCATGGAGTGCTTTGGGCTGAAGGGACCTTAAAGCTCCTCCAGCTCCAACTCCAACCCCTTCCACTGGAGCAGCTTGCTCCGAGCCCGTGTCCAACCTGGCCTTGAACACTGCCAGGGATGGGGCAGCCACAGCTTCTCTGGGCACCCTGTGCCAGCGCCTCAGCACCCTCACACCTGAGGTGCGAGGAGGCTGCAGGAGGCCCCGAAACAGCCGCCACGGCCCCAAAGGCCCCTTTAAAACCCTCCTGGTCTCTTTGTTCAGTGCAGGCCCAAGCCCCACCCGCGGCCTGCACCGGGAGCAGGGCCGGAGCCGACCCCAGTCCCTCACCCACCGCCCCCTGACTCCCGCGGCCTCCCCGCGCTCAGCCCGGGCGGTCCCGAGTCCCTGAGCCCGGCCCCGCGGCTCCCCCTCCCCGGCCCCGTCCCCTCCCCTCGCCTCGGAACCGCGCGGCGCTGAGGGCGGAACCGGGGGCGGGAGGCGAGGCCAGGCCCGGCCCTGCCCGTGCGGCGCGGGTCGAGGGGGGGCTGCGAGTGCTGAGGTTGGGGTTGGGGCTGGAGGAGCTTTACGGCCCCTTGAGCCCAGCCCCGGCTGGGGTTCGGCGTCACCCCGTTAGGAGCAGGTTTTAAAGCACTCAAAGGCAGAAGTCACGTTCGTGGGAGGTTCTGGTACTGCTGCAGGGCGAGAGAGGCTCCTGAGGGCATCCCAAGCCGAAGTAACGGCAGCAGGGACTTCATCAGGAGCTGCTTTGGCTGCCCCAGAGCTTTTTAAGCACCGGTCCAGTGTCATAATAACCAAGAGCTTCTGCCTCAGAGCTCAGCTCAGACTCCCCTCGGGCAGGTTAAAGCCATTCCCCTTGGCCTGTCCCTGCAGACCCTCGCCCAAAGCCCCTCTCCATGTTTGCTGTGGTCCCACTCACGCAGGCTCTGGGATGCCGCGTTCTCACCAGCACCCTGTGTGCAGAATAACCTGGCTCACCCATCCTGCCCCGTGTCCAGGTATTCCGTTATCCTCCGCGTGAGCAAATGGGGATTGTTCCTCTCATCTCTACCCCGCTGCCATCCCAAGCAATGCGGGGGGATGCTGGCGGGAGCACCCCCTGCCCAGTTCCCCCCTGGAATGCCGGTGATGGTTTGCCCAGCTGGCAGGGGAGGACACGGCGTTTCCCAGCCCGTTTTTGATATCTTTCCAAGGACCTTTTCCCCAGCTCCATTGGGAACAGCTGCAGGAAAGCTCCTCCCCGAGGGAGGGGAGAAGTCACCATCGCTGCTCAGGAGCAAAGCAGCAGTGGTGCTGCTGGCCCAAGAGGAAGGGGCTGGAGGCGATGGCCATGGCCGGGGCACACGCGGGGCTTTGCAGGGTCGTGTTCACCTCCCACCTACCCTGGTGGGGATCCGGGGCTCCATGGCCGCCGGGTCGCATCCTGCCTCGTGCCTGGGAGCGGTGCCAAGCACCGAGTGGCGGAGGAGTCAGCAGGAGCGCGGGGCAGGGGCAGCCCGTCGGTGTGCGGGAGGAACGCGGGGCGGGAGGCCTGGACGTGCCCCTCGCAAGGAGAGGAATGGAGACCCCGCTCCGTGAGCAGCCCGAGACTGGGAACCAGTGTCTGGAAGACGCTTCGCTGCGGAGCTACCTGCAGGCACACCTCCCGGCCGAGGGCTGGAGCGCGCCGTTGCGGGTCCGCCTGTGCGCAGCCCGGGTCGCCGGCTGAGGCTGTGAACTGGCCGTGTCTCTTGGCCCGGTTGTGCCTTGCAGCATGGAGCTGGGGGGAATTCATCAGCCTACTCTAAAGCTTGTTCTCTTTGACTCAGTAAAGGGGTGAAAAGTGCTGCCAGGACGTGAACAGAAGGGGCTGAGGGGGGTCCTGGCTGCTGCAATATGAGTGTTGCTTTGGGAGCGTCATTTGTTGCCTGATGGTCCAGAGAAAGACATTTCAGAGCAAGGGAAAAGGCTGCCCTGCTCCCAAACTCTGCTGTGCTCTTCCTCTCCTCTCCCACAGCGAAGAGGGGCTTTTAAGGACGTTTCTTCCTAAAGGAACAGGGCTCTCCTCAGCTGAGTGTTCAAGAGGCTGCAGAGGCCGTTGGGGTTTGCTTGTTCTCAGCACAGGTCATTGGCTTTTCAGGGCTGATTTTCCTTCACGGAAGGCTCTTTACTTACTGCAGGGGTGGGGAGAGGTGGGTGAGACCCCGCACTGTGGGTCTGTGCTCCGTGGGGTCCAGGCCTACAGGAACCCCTGGGAGAAGGCAGCTCATGTCAGTGGCTGTGCTCTGCTGTCTCAGAGCAGAGTGTGACCTCCCTCCATGATTTACACCAGCAGAAGCAGTACAATGACCTGTAAGGCAGAACCTGCCTTTCAGCGATGTTCTCCCTGCCACTGCTTGCTCTCCTGGTCTGTGTGGCCCTGCAGAGTGTGGTGGCAGTGCTGGGAGCTTGCTTTTGTCGCAGCCATCTCAAAAGAGGCCTCCCTAAGCACCGCTGTGGCCTTCTTGCTGGAAGAGAAGACCAGAAAGGAGGATGCCTTTGGGCAACCGTGAAGATCTTGCTCCATCTCTGCACCTTTGGAAGAAGCACGATTCACATCTCCCAAAGAATAAAAGGGTCTCAGCTGTCTTTCACCGGGAGCAAGAGCTGCTCTTAGCTCCTTCCCCAAAGAGACAAAAGCAGCTGCAAAATCCACCTGGGAACCAGCAGCACTTCCCTTCGTTCCTGTGCTCGGTCCCAGCGGGGCAGTGTTGCCTCACTGCTGAAAGCGTTGCCTCACTGCTCTGCTTCGTGCAGCAGCCCCAGGGCGAGCTCTCCATGTCAACCCCTTCCTCTCCAGGAGAGCAGGGCCGGATGAAGCTCAGTGTCCCACTGAAGCAGGCACCACGCTGGGGGTGGGTTCCTTTGTGTTCAGTGGTGAACACGGGATGAACGGAGCAATCTGAGGGTGGTTTCTGGAGAACAAAGCACCTGCTTTTTGTGGGCATCGTTTTGAGCTCTTGCTCTTTGATCCCCCTGAAAATACAGCCTTTAACAGAAAGGTTTGTACTGTCAATACGCAGTAACGTGCTCATTTCCCATACGCTCATCCCAGGGACATCCAGGATTTACAGACGTCCTCTCCGTACCCTGGTGTAGGTGTTTTGGAGTGCACAGGCTGCTGTGGGTCACATTCAGCAATCACCAGCATAGGAGCTCTGACGTTGTTCTTTCAGCTCAACCACATTCACTTGGGCAGCACTTGGTTTGTGAGGGTCAGGGGGTGAGCTCCCAGCTGGGCAGTTGGGGGGGTTAGAAACCATGGATGAGGTGAAGGAGCTGTTGCAGTTTGGGCTCTCTGTGGTGTGCTGACCAAGAGACCTGCTTGGTAGAGTCATTCTTCTGCCCACAGAGAAACAGTTCAAAGGTTCGTGTGCTTCAGGGATCAGCAAAATTCATGACCCTTGCCTTGGGAGCTTGTGCCTCTAGAAGAGCCTTCGGATTGCTGTCAAGGTGCCAGGCACTGGAGGCATACGCTGGTCCCAGCTGAGCTCCACTGGCAGCAAACGGGTGCAGTGTGAGCTGTGCCAGTTGACAGGGCTCTCATGCATGGATTTGGCTTCTTTTGTGATTTTTAACACTATTTCGCCATTCACCTGAAGGAAAACTCGTCTGAGGATGGAGACTTCCAGAGCAGTAACTGGACAGTGTGTGGTGATCCTCGGTGCACGCACTGAACAGCACGGCCGTGAGCAAATCAATCCTACGGGATGGAGCTTAATGAAAAGTCAATACAGGGGGAAGCAGGAGAGGAAGAAACAGTGTTTGTATTTCATCACCAGCAAATTAATGTGTTCTATAACTGCATCACTTTGGGTACAGCAACTACAGCACTCACCTCCATAATTGTTCTACGAGGAGGAACCGAGCATCTCCTGATGAACAGCAAAACATTCCTCTGATGAAAGCAAGTGTAGATCAGTGCCCCTCTGAGCCCCACTGCAGCTTTGGGGGTATTTGTGCTGATGGGGGTCCAGCAGTGCTAGAAGTTGGGCCCACCTGGCCTAATTTTAATCCTCTGCAAGTGAGGTTAGTGAAGCCTCGGCAGCATTCCTTGGCTTTGGCCACAGCCAGTGGAGAGCACTTGCAGAAGGCAATTGCTGTCACCTTGAAATAGGTGTCCAGGAGGGTGGGAATGAGCCCCTGCTCTGCGGGTGCTGGTTTCCCTCTGTTAACTACAGACAGACACACCGCTCTGTCCAAGCCAGCCAAGCCTGGCTGAGACAGGGCACGTGAATCCTCATCCAGGGCCATTCAGGAGGGCGGATGCAGGATGGAAATTTGAAGCTAGGCACCCTTGGCGCCAGGCTGGAGCTCAAATGATTGCTCCATCCCTCCCTTTCTAATCTGATCGGCAGGTAACTCCTGAGCCCAGTGGAAGCTTTCCTGCACAGATGAGGCTTTCTGCTTTTGGCAGCTCTCCCCCTGGCATTCTCCTCCAGCAGTAAATCAGAGAGTGGCTGAGGTTGGAAGGACCTCTGGAGATCGTCTCATCCAACCCCCCTGCCCATGTGCATCTGTGTCACTCTCAGCCCCAATACAAAAGCTCTTCTGTCTCCTGCAGAATTCAGAGATGCTGCCAAAAGTAACTTGGAAAAATGATTTTGGGGGAAGAGAAAAGTGACAACTGAGCAGGACTGTGCCAGCAGCAGCTGAGGAGCAGGCTGTCCTGCAGCGTTGCAGGAGTCATGGAAGGGTTCAGTGGCAAGAGACCGCTAGTCCCAGAGGACAGTGCTCTGCCACTCCAGGTGGGATGAGGCTCCTTGCCTTCCAGGAGCCTGCTGAAGGGCTCTTCTTGCTGTTCACAGGTACTGCAGGAGGTGGAGGGGGACCCGGAGAGATTCGGGAACCGCTGAAGCCGCCGGTGCTCCGGCAGTATGATGCCTGGGGACGGTGTGTGGATCACATCACCACCTGCTCAGCCTGGAGGAGGATGAAGCAGATTGCAGCAGAAGAGGGGCTGGTTGCTGAGGCCTGTGAGAGAAGATATTCCAACGAGGTAAGTGGGGAGAATGGGAACGACTTGATGGTATTCTCAGAGAGGTATAATCAGTTGTATAACAGGTACCAGATGATGCATGGACAAAAGCACACCTACTGCTGCACTGAACAGCAGTGTCTGTCTGCTGCAGTGTTCCACATCAGTGATGAGAAGCTGTCACTAATGGCCTACAGTTGCTCATAATATTCTTTGATGTCACTTGTCATCCTGGGGCCTGGCAATCTGCACTGCCCCAACTTTACATGCATTAGTTGTATCACAGCTAAAGAGCTAGGATTTGACTTGAAGTTTTGCTGTGTTCCAGCCTCTGGAGACAGACCCACATTTCTTACTTTTAAAAGCTGCACTGGCATAAGGTGCCTCCCAGCCAGCCTTGCACTGGCTGTCCCTCTGGGACTGAGAAACTGCTGCTCTTCTTCTGGAGGAAGCAGGTTTTGCCCTCTTGGAAACGTGCAGTCTGACTCTCACCTGCTTTGGCTGTATTTTGTTCCTCTCTTCCCATCAAGATGTTTTATCCTCCTGCTGGGGCACTGCTGCCTAACCCATCTGTTTCCCCTCACTCTCTTTCCTATAGCCGCCTGCATCAGGCTGCCAAACTCTACTTGTTCTCAAGCTCCTCTGGAGGATTCAACTGTCCACTGGCCATGACGGATGGGGCAGCCAAAGTCATTGAGGTATGAGCTCAGCTGGGCGCTGAGGGCACAGCCCATGTCCTGGCAGTGCTGGTTAGACTGAAGCACTGGCCAAGGATGGAGCAGGGCTCATCTGCCATCTGGCTCTGGGCACAGCCCTCCCTTGCTCTGTGACTCAGCTCCATCTCCCACTGCCTTTCTCCTTTAGTTACAGAGTCTTTGTGCCCAGCTTTTCTGTTTACCTACAGCACTGGGTACGATAAAGCCTTTGCTGCACATGTGGCACTGCAGGTAGCTGGGAAGGTGTCCCATGTGCTTATTGTGAGATAGTTTGTTTTCCTGTTCCTGGTGTGGAGCTGCAGTTCACTGTCTGGTCCAGATCCACACCTGATGTAAATAAACCAACCTAGCAAGACTAGTCACTGTCTGAAGATTTGCCCCTGCATCTTGGCAGCACCCTCTGCGCTGTGTCCATGCAGAGAAGAGCTAGCCCTGGTCATTTCCATTCAATAAGGGTCAAAAGCATAATGCAGTGACCTCTTTCCTTCAGCTCTTTGGGTGCTGCTGACACCCAGTGTCTATGAACACATGCTGATACTGTTCTCAAAGCTCTCTGTCCAGATGTCTAGCACTGCAGAAACCCCAGGGATGGAACACAAGTGAGCACCTTCTGTGTGCACAGTGCTCCAGCAGCCATGCAGGAGCTGGGCAGGTTCAGGCTCTCAGCAGTAGGTGCAGATGTGCTGCAGTGCAGGACACTTGGTGTCCTGCTCGCCTGCTTGCAGACGATCCACTTGGAGCCTAGGACGTGAGTGGTTGTGAAAGCAACTGCCTAATTTCATCTACTGTGTTATCGTCATCCTAAGTTCCTCTTCCTTCCCCCAGAACAGTCTCTGGGTATTCCTGGATCTCTGAGAAAGGCTTTTGGCCATCTGACATCCCGCGACCCGAGCAGTTCTGGACCTCTGGCCAGTGGATGACGGAGCGCAGGGGAGGCTCTGATGTTGGTATGTGTTCTGAGGTGGAAAGCAGCTGCAGCAGCAGCCAGATGTGTGAGCAAGGACTGAGAAAATGGGGAACTTATAAAGCCAGGTGGCTGGTTTGGGAAACCTGAGCAAAAGTCATCCAAATCCTCTGCATAGCTCTGCTTTTTAACCAGGAAAAGGCCCAATCTGCGTGCAGCACAGGCAGGTACAGAGCTGTGTTCCTTGCACAGATAACACACTCCTATCTAGCCCTATAATCTAAACCTTGAACCAGCCAGACCCATCCCAGCTGAGACTGAGAGCATTCTTGGCCTTCAGCTTTGAATGTTACCAATACTGTGATGGGCCAGGAAGCCACAGGGGCATCAGCTGCATCCCCTGAAGCTGCAGTTGGTTCCCTGGTGAAGAAGTGAAAGGGTCAGCTGTGGAGTGAAAGGTGTGCATCATGGCAGGACTCCTGATTCCATAGCACCCTTTGTTGTACTGGGCTGTGGTAACTCCTAAAGACACGGAGGCATTGGATTATACACCCAGGTGTGTTCTGCTTATAGAGCACTGCCATCACCAGCCCTTAGCCTGGAGCAATTGCTGGAGAGCCTTGCAGTGAAGCAGATTTCCTTTCTAGTACTTACCTCTGGCTGCATTTCTTACCCAGGGTCGGTGAAAGAGATTAGCAGCTAATCCATACTCCACCTTGATCACAAGAGGTGACTTACAAGAGCAGCCAGATGGAACGTATCGTCTCTACGGTTTCAAATGGTTCACATCTGCAGCTGATTCTGATGTGACACTTACCCTGGCCAGGGAAGTGGATACTGAAGGCCAGGTAAAGCAGTCCTGTTTGATGGTGGAGCCAGCTGAAGGAGCAGGGCCATTCTTCTTCCTTCTTTCATTGTAATGAAACCTTTTTGCATGCTTTTCCCATGGCTCCAGGGTTCCGGTGGCCTGTCCCTGTTCTTCCTCAAGGCTCGAGATGAGGAGGGGAAGCTCAACAACATCCAAGTGCAGAGGCTGAAGGACAAGTCAGGCATGTGGCAGATGGCAACAGCAGAGCTGTGGCTGGATGGAGCTAAAGCAGAGCTAGCAAGTAAAGTTCCACCTTCCTCTTGGGGCTGGGCTGGCTTGACAATGCAGAGCAGAGGACCCGGGGTGGGGTGGGGTTTGACAGTGATACCAGCTGGAAAAGTTCCTCTCCTCCACCTCTGTGGCTGGCTGCTCACCTCACAGAACGCTTCACCAATGGGGCTGTGTGGGGCAGAGCTGAAAAGAGCTCAAGAAAAGATGGGAGGGAAGGAAAAAGGAAACAAGTCATTTCAGGCTGGTCCTTTCCCTGCTCCTGTTGCACTGAGCCAGGCGAGGGACCGTTCTGAGGGACCAGAACTGATCATGCTGATGTGGTCTCCTGCCACAGAAAAAATATGGACTCAGAGATCAGTATGATCAGACCAAAGCCATTTATTATAGAGTATCAGTCCTTTCTATACTGTTTCTCTGCCTCAGCTTACAATAGCTTGCTCTATTATAATCAGACACATTTCCTTGTAATACACCGCAACTATGGTTACAATAGCTCGCTGTATAATATTTGGATACATCATCAATAGCTCGCTGTAGTATAATTAGATACATGTTCAATAGCTTGTTGTATGATGATTGAATACTTATACAATAGCTCAGTATACTGTGCTGTGATGCATATTCCTGCAGCACACGGCAACCAGTAACAATAAGCGTATGGGAACTTAACCTTGGAAATTTGCTAACAGTCCACTGTTTGGTATCTTAGCACAGTCCAGTTTCTTCTTATCTTGCTTGCACTGCTACTTTTGCTACTGCTACTTTTGCTTCTTTACCCACGTCCTCCTTCACCCTCGCTTCACGTCGAGCTCCATGCAGGCACTTGCTGACTTGGGAACGTGGCCATTCTTTGCTAAAAATCCATCCACAGTCTCCAAAGCCACCTCTCTGGTCACGCTAAAATGAGATAGCGATGTTTGAAAGCAAGGAGATCTGTGTGATGCCTGAGGACAGACAGAGAGAGCGGACAGCCTGTATGTCTGGGACACAACTGTCACTGTGATAGGTGTCCACTCCCGAGGCTGTGCCTGCACAGCTTCCACCAGCCTTTGCTCCTTGATGCTTCCAGATCTCTGCAGAGGGCTGAGGAGTGGCCTCCATCTCCAACATGCTGAACATAACTCGGATCCACAACGTCATCGGTGCAGTAGCTTCCACGAGAAGGTGAAGGCAGCGTGGATCTCCCAAAACTGAAGGAGCAGCTTATCAGGACAAGGGGACTTTGCAGTGCTCAGCATCGCAGCTGATTGACCTTGCAAGGCACAGGTCTGGAAGCCAGCAGTGCTGGAGGAGGTTGGCCTGTGGGTGGCTGACCGAGGCTGGCGTGGTGCAGCTGAGCAGGGTTCTTCTAGTGGGGGTGGCTGGGTGGGAGAGCTCACAAGTGGGAGGTTGCTGGTCTGACTGCTTCCCCTGGCTGTGTGTTCCCCAGGATGCTCAGTCTGAGCAGGGGGTGTGCCCGCAGGAGGGTTGCCCTTGGGAAGCTCCTCAAGGACCATCCCCTACACATACAGAGGCTAGCACGGATGGAGGTGAGGCCCTGGGGAGCTGAGCTGAACCTGTGGTGAGGAAAGAGGGCAGAGATCCTCAGCTGTAGTGAGCACAGGCAGCTGCCTCCACGTGCTGCAGTCAGGCTGCTCCTGCTACAGTGAGGGGAATCGCCATGTTCTAGTGGGATTTGATGTGATGATGGACCTAGCTTCTCTGCTGGACTTCATGTTACCCTAACCTAATCCTGAGAGGAGTGCCAAGGTTCATGCATGCACCTACTGTGATATGCCATGACCTCTGAAGTTGGTCGTTAGCATTGGAGTCTAAGGATGACACCACAGTCTCCTCCAAGAGTGACACAGACTCATCCAGGTTCCCTGGTAGCTCATGCACCAGGAGATGGGCTGTTCCCAGCAGGCTCAAAGAATTCCTGAGCAGTGACCACGCACTTCAGCTTCCGAGAAGTTTGTCTTCACGGTGTCCCCACACAGGGCTCAGCACCACAAGGCACCGAGCCTGAGCGCAGCCTCTCGGTGTGGATGTCACCTAAGGCAGTACCAGACAGGGGAAGGGAGCGCAGCGGGAGCTGGCACTGGCTCTGGGAGGAATTTCACATGTGGGCCTTACCTCAGTGCAGAACGTCCTGCAGCTTTGCATGGTGCTGAGCTGTAGCTGCTCACTGAATCAGGGGACACCACTTCCCACCCCTGCTAAAGCTTCGGCAAGAAGGCACACAGGCACGCAGTCCTCCTCCTCTCACCCCTCCAGGCACTACTGCTCCCCAGTGCTGTAACACAACCCCTGGGCTGCAGTAGGTTGATGCAGATGTGTCCAGCAGCATTTAAAACTCCTCTTGCAAGGTGGGGAAGAGGGAAGTGGTCAGCACCTGACATAACTTACAGCTCCAGCAGGTCTTAGCCTGTGGCCAGAGCTGCACCTCTGAAAGGAAAGACCAGATCCCATATAGTTCCATGGCTACAGAGCTTCATATCCCAGTGCTTCCCGAATCACAACCAGCCAGGGAAGTTGCTTAGCAAACAACCTGTCAGAGACTTGCAGATCTCGGTGCTCAGAGGTTGGCCATCAGATGTGTGGTCTTATGTCCCTTTCCCTTGGGAATGATGTGGATTTGTGCCCTGGATGCCTGATGGGAGCTCTGACAAGGCTCCAAGTGGGCCTGAGAAATGGCACATTCCCTTTCCTCATACTAGAGTGCAGTATCCAAGAGCAGCAGCCCCAGGCTGCCTTTAATATCTCATGCTTTGTGCCTTGCCTGGTCAGTGCTCTTTGCCTCTGGAGCTGTGGGTCTGCACGGGTGGCACTTTGCCCATGTCCAAGTATTGCACATCCCTTTGAGACGGTCTCACAGCACCTCAATGGGCCAGGCTGGAGTGAGCCCGAGTCAAAGATCCTTCCCAGTGAAGCTCGCACTTCTCTGCCTGCAGGTGCAGACACGAGGGGCATTCCTGCTCCTTATGGACATCGTTCGTCTGCTTGGACTCGCAGAAACCAACATGGCAAGTGAGCAAGACCAGCTCCTCCTGAGAGTGCTGGTACCAGCTGCCAAACTGTACACTGGGAAGCAGGTATGGAGGGACCAGTTTGATGAGGAGAGGGGCTTTGGACAAGGGATGTAGGGACAGGCCAAGGGGAATGGCTTTAACCTGCCAGAGGGGAGACTGAGCTGAGCTCTGAGGCAGAAGCTCTTCCCTGTGAGGGTGCTGAGGCGCTGGCACAGGGTGCCCAGAGAAGCTGTGGCTGCCCCATCCCTGGCAGTGTTCAAGGCCAGGTTGGACACAGGGGCTTGGAGCAAGCTGCTCTAGTGGAAGGGGTCCCTGCCCGTGGCAGGGGTTGGAGCTGGAGGAGCTTTAAGGTCCCTTCAAACCAGGCTGGGATTCTGTGATTAACCTGGAGCAGGGCTTGTGAGCAAGCGCAGAGGTAGAAAGGGGAGTGGTGGACACAAGAGGATGGGCAGTGATGGCAGGAGATACCAGCAACGGCCACGAGCTGCAGGCCTGCAGCAGTTACTGCTCTGCACTGAGGTTGGACAAGCAGCAGGCTTGTTCCTTTGCTCTGAAGGCCACAGATCAGCCATCTGATCAGAGCAGCCACAGAACACTGTCAGGAGTGCACAGGCCACAGGGGAATGGTGCTAAGGCTGCTGTAAGACCAAGAGGGGGCAGTGAGCCATGGGGAGTATCTGCCCTCTAACTAGGAATAAATAGATGAGAACAGCTTAGCATCAGCCTTTAACTTCAGGGGTCTGCCCCTGTTCTAATTGCCCTCAGCTTAAACACAAATAGGCAAGTAGAAAACAAAGACTCCTGGACTGGAGACATACAGGTACCAAGGAAACCACAGGTTTAGCCTTAGCTGGAGAGGGCTGTACTGAGACAGGATCTCTCTGGATGTCTCCCGAGGTCTGTCTGCTCCTGCCCATCCTCTCAGTGTTACTCAGCCTTCACTCCCGAGCTCCTCCTCCTGCATCTGCTTCAGCCCATCAGCGGGATCCAGTCAGTGCCATCCCAGCAGAACTGCTGTGTGCCGTGAGAGGTTTCTGGTTGCTCTTTCCCCATCTGCAGCACGGATCATGTCAGCTCTCTGCATTTTGCAGGCTTCTGCTGTGGTTATTGAGGCAGTGGAGAGTTTTGGAGGACGAGGTTACACGGAGGATGCAGGCTTGCCACATAGGCCGTGATGCTCTGGTAAGAAGGCAACAGGAGAAGCTCCCGTGTGCCTCCTACTCCCCTGCCCAGGACTGTGTGGCTGCCCCTGAAGACGTGCTCAAGGGAGAACCCGTTCCTCCAGGTGGGGCAGCAATTCCCTGCTGCCTTCCTGCTGAGCCCAGCCATCCGCAGGGAGGGGATGTGGCTTCTTCCTGCTGCTGGGGGTGTCTCCCAGCTCCCACCACCACTGCCCCTTTCCGCTTGTGCTGAGGCATCCCTGGAGATTCCCTTGGCACCCCTTAGCTCTGTCCCATGTCTTTGGCTCCTCACATTCCCCTTTCTTTGCTGCAGTGGCTCCAAGTGGCTCCTTCACGCCCTTCCACCCGCAGGTGCTGTCCACATGGGAGGGAACAACGAGCATCCTGTCCCTCGATGTGCTGCGATCCCTCAGCAAGAGCCAAGGGCAGGCGCTGGCCGCGTTCCTCTCCTCAGTGCAGGTGAGCTCAGCCTCATGTGCCTGCGGTGGCGGAGCCCTCTTTGGGGTTCCTGCTCCTGCTGAGGCTGGCAGGGGACGTGCCCAGGGTGAAAGCTTTAGATGGGTGTTGAGGAGGCGTCCTCCCATCCTGCTCTGGGCATAGCACTGACGAAGCGGAGCTCAGGCAGTGCTTGTTTGGGATCCATGTGCTGCAGAAAGCACAGGGCCTTCCACTCAGCAGTGAAGAGGTTTTGCGTTGCGAGGGCTCCTCGTGACCGGTACCCCTGTAAATGTGCTTTTACTGTGGAGGAGTCACCCTCCTGACCCCAAAATCATTCTGTGGTTTTGCTTCTTCACTGGAAAACCACCCCAACACTGCTTGGGCCCTGCTAGTGAAGCTTCAGCAGGGCTACCCACTGTGTCACTTTGATTCCCACTGAAAGGATGGAGGAAGCCAATGCAATTCCACTGCTGCCTCTTTAGATCTGCTGTTCTCTGGCTTTACCTACTGGCTGCTCTGCCAGAGGTGCAGTGCTGGCAGTTGTTCAGGTTTCCAAAGCACAGGAGCAAGGGGCTGTTGGTAAAGAGCATCTGGGTCTGACACTGAAATGGAGGAGGAAGGGAGCCAGTGGTGGGCTCTAAAGTAGTTTGGAAAGGCACCAGCCTGCACAGTCTTACCCATACACTACTCTGAACCAATCCCCCTACTCAGTCCTCGGAGCACCTCCCTGGGGTAGCTGAGGGGGTCCCTCCAGCTTAATGGAAGCATTAAAGAACACAGCAGTGGGATCCAGAGCAGGCACCTGCACAGCAGTAACCCCGAGGACTGCAATGTCTTCATTAGCAAGCTCCTCATTGCTCTCCCACAAGCCACGCTGTGGATGGTACTGGAGGTAACAAGTGAGCACTGACTTGAGAGGTCTCCACATCCCAGTAAGTGCCACTGCATCTGCTGCTGCTCTTGGCTGCCTCCACTTCCACGGGGGGTGCCTGGGACAGGCTGAGCTGGGAGCAGTGCTGCTGCACTGGGTCTGGATAGCACAGACTGGCGCATTCACCCTGCACAGGTCACAGCTTCTCCCTCCCACCATGGGCAGCCGGGCCCTGAAGGGCAGAGCAGGGGGGATTCCTGCAGGGTGCATCCGTGCTGCATCGGGCAGGAAGGTGCTGAGCTCCTACAGCAGCATCAGGGCTTCACTCACAGGAGATGAACAACCTCTCACTGAGCTCCAGGTGTTCAGGCTCTCGGGGTCTGTGCGAGTCTGGCTCATCGGAAGCACCTTTCCCACTCCTCTCTAGTGAGGACATCATTTGGCCCTGCATAAAGGGATTTTTACTGTCCCAATCCATTTCCTTTTCATTGATGCCCATGAAATGAGTACACTTTATTTTACAGTTGCCCATCAAGGTTCTCAGTGTGCAGGATCTGTGCCCATGACGGGCTCTGGAGGAAGCAGCATTCGTACTTAGTACGAACCAGCACTTGGTTCCTTGAGGGTCATTACCTCGGGGTAACGTCCCCCTGACCCTGCTGTCACCTACTTGTGCTTCTATCCCGTGCCAGTTGCCATTAATCACGGTGCAATATCTATCCAGTTCTGTCATCTGGGAGCAGGACCCCATGTCCCAGTTACCCTCAAGAACAGGGGGGTGCAGAGAACTTCCCCATCCCCACACCAGAGGACGGATTTTAGGGGTTGTGATGCACTTGGAAGTTTGTTACAAACAGGTCATTGGTCTGAAGAGCCTCTGGAGAACACACGGTGAGAAGAGTGAGTGTGAGAGGGCAGCCCTGGGAGCCAGCTCAGCCCTGGTGGGAGCTCCAGGTGGATACAGCCCAGGGGAGACTCATAGAGCCCAGCCTGGTTTGGGTTGGAAGGGACCTACAGCAACAGCGGCTGCCCCATCCCTGGCAGTGTTCAAGGCCAGGTTGGACACAGGGGCTTGGAGCAAGCTGCTCCAGTGGAAGGGGTCCCTGCCCGTGGCAGGGGTTGGAGCTGGAGGAGCTTTAAGGTCCCTTCAACCCAAACCAGGCTGGGGTTCTGTGATTAGCCCGGAATGGGACTCTTTGGCACGTGAGCAAGCACAGAGCTGGACAGGGCAGTGATGAGCAGTCACATTAACGGCTACAGCCCAGCAGGGTTCATCCAGGCAGCCGTGTCCAAAGAGCAGCCGGTTCAGACTCCCAGCAGGGTATCACCTGTGCTTTCACGTGATACTGGGGCACTGGAGGAGCAGCAGCTGACCTTGACCAGGAGAGCTTTGAGCTCAATGCCTGACGTCCATCAGAAGAGAGCCCCTCTGGGCCTGGGGCCTGTCCCACTGACACCACTTACAGGGAAAAGCTCCTTCCAATCTGACTGTTCCTGCCTGGACACAGCTCTGGCGCCTGTGTGGAAGTAAGAACGTAAAACCAGGAGAACCAGAACCTGGTGCAGGTCCACAGCGAGAACTGGGGTGGGGTCTGGTCCCCACACACAGCTGGGATCCAGCGCAGGAGCAGCATCACGGGGGCTCTGGCACACAGGAGTTCTCCATGCTCACAGCCCGGCTGTGAGCTTCCCTTTGGCAACGCGATCCCAGCGGCCCCTTCCCGTGCAGGAGGTGAACACGCTGTGCTGCTTCCTCCCATTGTTCTCCCGACAGAGAAAACTGGATCTGGCTTTGAGCACCGGGGGCCTGGAGCCCGCTGTGGGGCAGACACGGGCTGCACTGGGGAGACGGGAGCAGTTCCTGCGAGCAGCTGGTCCCAAGGAGGCACTGCCCATGGAGCTGGCAGCAAGAGACTTCTCCTACACCCTGGTGAGGATGTACACAGGTGGGGGAAAGGGAAGTGATGGATTTCAGAGCGGGAAGGGGCTGGGGAGCCGGCCTGGCATGGCCGGGATTCACATCTGTGGGGTAAAGGGTGGTGTGGAAGGAAGCTGGGTGCCCCCCTTCTTGCGAACGGAGGCAGCTCAGCCTGGCCAGTGCTGCTGGTGTAACCCCCTGCTGCTCCCGAGGGAGCCGGGAATACCGGTGTCTCCTCTGCTTCCACAGGGGCACGCAGCTCGGCCTGATGCTTCCTCCACAGACATCCCCGCTGCTCGAAGGTGAGTGAAACCCTCCTCAGCTCTGGCCTAGGGATTCCTGGGCCATGCAGCTTTGCTCTGCCCCTGTGAGCGGTCTGACCCCTCACCCAGCTTTGTATGGTCACAAATGGGGCAAGCAGCGTTCTGGGCTGGTTCCTGTTAACACACCACGGGCAGCGGGGAGAGGGATGCAAGCGGGGCAGCCCTCGTGGTGAGAGCAGCGCTGGCTGCGTCCCGGGGCTGGGACAATCCTCGTGTGCCCTCTGTGCAGGTGGTGCAGGCAGGAGCTGGTCCTGTGCAGGTGGTGCAGGCAGGAGCTGGTCCTGTGCCCTCTGTGCAGGTGGTGCAGGCAGGAGCTGGTCCTGTGCCCTCTGTGCAGGCAGGAGCTGGTCCTGTGCCCTCTGTGCAGGTGGTGCAGGCAGGAGCTGGTCCTGTGCCCTCTGTGCAGGCAGGAGCTGTGTCCTGTGCCCTCTGTGCAGGCAGGAGCTGGTCCTGTGCCCTCTGTGCAGGCGGTGCAGGCAGGAGCTGGTCCTGTGCCCTCTGTGCAGGCAGGAGCTGTGTCCTGTGCCCTCTGTGCAGGCAGGAGCTGGTCCTGTGCTCTCTGTGCAGGCAGGAGCTGTGTCCTGTGCCCTCTGTGCAGGCAGGAGCTGGTCCTGTGCCCTCTGTGCAGGCGGTGCAGGCAGGAGCTGTGTCCTGTGCCCTCTGTGCAGGCAGGAGCTGGTCCTGTGCTCTCTGTGCAGGCAGGAGCTGTGTCCTGCGCCCTCTGTGCAGGTGGTGCAGGCAGGAGCTGGTCCTGCACCCTCTGTGCAGGCAGGAGCTGTGTCCTGTGCCCTCTGTGCAGGTGGTGCAGGCAGGAGCTGGTCCTGTGCCCTCTGTGCAGGCAGGAGCTGGTCCTGTGCCCTCTGTGCAGGTGGTGCAGGCAGGAGCTGGTCCTGTGCCCTCTGTGCAGGCAGGAGCTGTGTCCTGTGCCCTCTGTGCAGGCAGGAGCTGGTCCTGTGCCCTCTGTGCAGGCAGGAGCTGGTCCTGTGCCCTCTGTGCAGGCGGTGCAGGCAGGAGCTGTGTCCCATGGCCGTGGAGCTGGACAATGGCAGCTATGAGGTGGAGGCCGTGCTGGTGGACGCAGCGCTGGTGGACGGGGGCAGCCCTGCCTGCAGCAGCCGGCTCTGACCTCCCGGAGGTCCGGCTCCGGAGCCCAAACCCCGGGGCACGGTGGGGATGTGGCACCAGCGGCCAGGCCAGGCCCAACCTGCTCCAGTGCGACACCGCTGCTTCGTGCCATCATCTGCTGCCACCGCCACAGCCTCGGGGTCAGTGAGGCACGGCCATGGGCTTACCGTGACTTGAAGCAGCCGCCCTGCAGGTACCGAGCGGTGTTCTTTGTAGTGACAGAAGCCAAGCTGAAAGTTACCTGAAGCTGATTAAACACAGAAACCCACCCATTGCCCCTGTTCACCTCCTTGCTGCCCATTGCCGCGCACCACCGCCCACCCTGGCACTTGCTGGGGTGGGTTTGATGCGGGGGCCGCATCCCTTCACACAAGCAGCCTCTCAGCAGCGGGTCCTGAGGGAACGTTGGGTTAAACCAGAGCATTTGTAACCCAAACGTCCTGTTTTCGGGGTCAGGGCTGCCCCGGAGCAGGGCGGACACTGGGCACTGCACAGCCTGGGGCCTCCTCTGGATCATTCCTTTTACGTTCTGCTTTGTCTCACACGAGCTTTGCTTTTACTCTGAACCAGCCTGGAGCAGGAGCTTTACCTCCATGTGCATGGTTTGGGTGCCTCACCCCGTGCTCAGCTGAGGAGGGCCAGAGGAACGCCCTCACCTTCCTGCACGTCCCACACAGATACAGTCAATGGTCAGTGCCCACATGGGCACTGCTGTGCGGAGCTGAGCTGGGGAGGAGGTGGCTTCAGTCACATCCCTCCAGTGCCATCAGAACTGGTACAAACGGGCAGGTTGGACACAGGGGCTTGGAGCAAGCTGCTCCAGTGGAAGGGGTCCCTGCCCGGGGCTGGAGGAGCTTTAAGGTCCCTTCAACCCAAACCAGGCTGGGATTCTGACATGAATTCTGCCTTATGTTTTACACTGAAACCCTGTAATCCCACACCAAAGCAAACGCATCCATCGTGACTGTGTCACCCTCAGCCCATCCTTCTTCCTGCCTGGTGTTACCCTGATGACCAAAAGATCTTCCTTCAGGAGGTGCTAAGAACAGAAGACAGACATGAATGAGCCAAGGGTCTGTTCTCATCCAGATGGGGTCACCTCACCCCTTCCCGATGGAGCTCTCATGGATTTCTGAACACCAGGATTAAGTTTTCCTAGCATACGAGCTATGATTTGCCTAAACTTCAGCCCCACGGATGGGGATCCCAGCGGAAGCTCCGGTGCAGCCCCGAGGGGCTGTAAAGCTGTCACCAGGCAGGGAAATGACAGCTTTATGAAGATGTGAATACTCACTCTGAGGCTGCAGCAGAATAAACGCTGGTACCAACAAGCACCAGGGCCTAACGCTTCGTGCTGCTGCTGAACAGCTCCTGCTCCCCGGGTTTGGAAGATTCAATGTGCTTGAAATCATTAACCAAGGCTCCAGCTGTCATCTGGATACACCTGAACCCCCGGTAAAGCACAAGCAGATGCTGCCACTGCAGAGAGCTCACTGAGCAGTGGGACTAGGGGAAACTGCCTTAAACAGGTGGGTGTTAAACAGCAGGATAAAACTTGGGCAGCATTTGAAGAGGTGAAAGTCTGAGGAATGGGGTGATCTGAAATCCCCAAATGCAACGACCTGAGCTGGTGCCGGTGCTGTGAGTGCCAAGGGAAGGATGTGGTTGTTACTGCTCTGCCTGGAGTAACTGCTCCCCACTGTGCCCATGGGGTGCAGGGGCAGCAGCACGGACGGGTGCTGGGGTGCAAGGTGATGCTTCTCCCTCTGCACCCGGCGCTGGTGGAGCCCCTCTGTAACAGAGCACCCGAGCAGGACTGCTCAGTATCCCCGGGCTCCTCCTCGGCCCTGCTCTGGGCCCAGGCACCTCTCACCTTCCTCATGCTCCAGACCAGCCCCAGGCACTGCTTTTACTCTTTAAGCACAGCAGGGATCTCCATGGAGCACAGGAGCCTGCGATGGAAGTGCCTGAGGGCAGCCCTAAGGGCTGTGTCCAGGCAGAGGGGATCCTGCTCCCCAGCACACATGGAAGCTCCGGCCTCCCCTTGGCACTGCTGAGCGGCTCCTTCAGGTACAGCCCAGCGCCTCCCAGCTCAGCCTGGACCCGGCTGCCCCAAAGGCTCACACTGGGTGACGAGGGCCCTGTCAGGGGATGGTTACAGACCGAGCACGGAACATCCGCACCCCCTGCCAAGGGAGCTCGGGATCAGCTTCCCTGCACAGGGCTTTTGTCCTTTGCAGCCTCCCAAGGGCTCAAACCCCCTCCAAATGCAGCTCCATTCCCCCCCCCAACAGCCCCTCTGGGGCAGAGGAGCGGTTCCTGACACCCCCTTCCCTTCCCCACCCAAGAGCTGTTGGTTTCCACCCTACACCACGGGTGCTCACCCCTGCAATGAAGCTGGTTCTGCTAATGGCTGCGGGTGCACAAACACTGCCCCATCGCTGGCAGTGTCCAAGGCCAGGTTGGACACAGGGGCTTGGAGCAAGCTGCTCTAGTGGAAGGGGTCCCTGCCCGTGGCAGGGGTTGGAGCTGGAGGAGCTGCAAGGTCCCTTCCAACCCAAACCAGGCTGGGATTCTGCGTGTGAGACTCCGTCCATCCACCTCCATGCAAGGACATGCAGGGACACCGCACACTGAGCCGACAGCAGCGCTCTCCTCCGAGGCTCTGCTGCTGTTTGAGGGCTGTGCCAGAGCGGAAGGAGGTTCACCTGAAGAGCTGATCCCCAGGCCATGAGCTCCCCCAGCAGAGCTCACCACCAGCAGCGCCCTGTCCGGCGCTGGGAGTACCGGTGGGGACACAACAGATCCAGCCACTGCACCAGAGAGACTGAGGGTAACTCGGGTGTGAAAGGAGCGACAGGAAAATCAAACCCTGCGGTTCCTCGGCATGTTCTTAACAGTGCAAAACATCAGACCTGCTTTTTGTCCCTGCAGGGGGAAAGGGGAGCTCAGCTGCGCCCACAGCTCTGCCCAGCACCTACAGGTTTAACGGGTTAAATAAACCCCGTGGGATTATAAAGGGATTGTGGCTCATGCGTGCTCGGAGCAGGCCCGGCCCAAAGCAACTCACAGCTGCCAGAGACCTGGGAGCAAATCCTCTCGGTGAGACAAGAGGGAAGCGGTGGGGGGAGCCGGGGCGATGGAGCACGTGTGGCCAAGCAGGAGCATCCCCTCTCCTGTGGGGACTGCAGGACGAGGAGCAGTTTTCCACCGTCTGGGAAGAGATCAGAAGTTATTAAACCTGAGCCTGGTTTGGTCCCCACCAGCTGCAGCTCCACCGTTCAGCACAGAGAAAGGCAAAAGGGGCTGCGAGGCTCTGACCAGCTCCCGTGTGGTGAGGGGAAGGGAGACCTGGAGCTCCCTGCTCCGAAGGTCACCGAGAGCAGGTTTGCTCCCTGCTGATCCCGACTGCTCCCGCATTCCGGCCCATGGCTTCAGATCAGCGCTTTGGAACGAGACGGTTGCCAAGGGGAAAAGGAAAGAGCAGGTGCTGAGGAAGACAAGGCCCTCGCGCAGCTCCCACCTTGGGCTGTGCTGCTGGCACCCGGGCTTGGGGCTTTTCCCATCCCTGGGACACCTGCACCAAGACACCCAACGGGAAAGGGAGCACCGGGAGAGCTGCAGCCTCCTCGCGCAAAGGCCTTGGTGGTTCTGCGAACCTCACACCAGCTCCTGGCAAGGGCAGGGAAGAACGGTAAGAAAGGAGGAAGGGGTCAGCGACGGCTGCCATGCAAAAGGCTAAACTTTATTCACTTTTATTTATATATTTAACAAGTCTAAAGTATTTACTTCTGGCTTTGACAAAAATGAAAAATAGAGGAGCACTTTCCTGGCGGGAGGAGCGGGGGCTCTGTACAGCTCCGGGGCCTCCTTTACATACAAAGAAAAATAATAGTCATAAAAAAAGTGCTTCATCCATCAAAAAAGGACTAAAGAGCTGCAAGCATTTATTCACACTGTACATCGCAGACCCGCACCCGTATCGGAACCTCTTGGCACCTGGCATTAGAACTGCACAACCTGCTTTCACCCCAAAGCCACCCCACGGCTCCCAGAGGCAGACCTCAAAGCATCCCCCCCGCGCTGCACTCGGAGCCACTGCCCGGCCCTGGGCTGGCTCAGGAACAAACACCTCCAGCTCCACGCGCCTGCAGAACCCGTCTTTACCCGTGCTCTGCCCTCCTGATGGGCTGAGCCACGTTTCAGACCCATGCTAGGGGAGAGCCCAAGGTGCTTCCTCACCGGAGCCCCTTCCCACGTGGATGCAGGCTGCCCTGCTCGTCCTGTGCATCTCCAGCTTGCACGGCAGCAGCGCAACGACGCTCACCGAAGGGGCAAGCTCTGGAACACCCCGACATTCCCCATCAGACCTAACGGATACTCTGAGATGGTTTTCTCTGTGCGATATTTGCTGTGGATTATGGGATTCCGACATTCCAAGCGCTCCCTTCCCAAGGCTTCTGAGCTTTTGTATCTAGCACTCCCAAATACTCCAGCAGGATTCTTGAGAGTACCACGAGAAGCTGGAACTGTGTCCAGGCAGCACACTGCGAAGCAGGATCTACGCTTCTTCCTTGCCAGATTGCACTACGCAGGCTCTATCCAAAGGGAACAGGAGGAGCTCCCCACACTCATTTAGAAAGGGATAGTCAGGAGATTCACACTTCACTGAGGTGACTTGAAAAGTGACTTGGCCTGGGGCAGAAGGGAGGAGGGGAATCCATGCTGTATTTCCAGGCTTTGTAAACCCTCAGGCGGGTTTTTCCCTATCTGGAGTCTATTGGATACAGATTGCAAAGGAGGAGACGAGCACCAGGGCGCTGCCTCACCGCTGCTCTGCTCCTCTGGGGACAGCCTCGGACCCGGCTCCGGATCAGAGCACGGTGGTGCCGGTGTGAGCCAGGACCAGAGCCCTGCCCCGGAGCAGCTCCACACCCAGTAACCCCCCCACAGCCGGGGCAGGGGGGGACTCGGAGGTCTCCTACTCCCCGCTTGGGTTT